CCCCTCACATATACTAATGTGCCACAAACAGGACTTTAATATCACCAACCATTCCCATGTTATTATGGTGTATATAAATGGCCCACCCTGTACATCCAATATAAAGGAATAGCACGCTTTGACATTTTGGGAAAAGCATCAGTTACATTAGCAGTTTTGTATTCATACTGCAAATACTATCAGCATCTGGCTAGCTAAGCTTGAGATTAAAACTAGGAACAAGCTGATATGGCTATGGCTATGTCCAAATGGGTCATAAGCACAAGTTGTAGCGAAACCTATGTATTTATTATTATTGTGTCACTGCCACATTCTACTTTTTAAAGTACTCCCAAACCCCAGCTGTGTAACATGTGAGATGCAGTTACACTGAAGTATTTGCCGCTGGAAATCACAGCAGTGCACCTTGAATGAAATCCACACTGTTGTCTTGCAGCTGGGTTGGATGAATGCTTGCAGAAACATGCTAGCTTGTTAGCAGATATCCGTCCCTCCTCACCCATAATTCCCCACCGCTGCTACAGCTGGTAATACAATCCAGTCTACCCACTCCTTTAAAGCTCTGTCGTTATAATTAAAAAACTCCCCGTCTTGTGTTATTATACGCCTCTGAAGGCTTTAAAGAAACAAGCTGAAAAGGCTTAGGGAACTCTTGGTAAACTTAAAGGAAAGGCTCTCAGGCTGTAAATGCCTCAGAAATCTGTTAGAAATGCTGCTGCTATTCAGTCTTCTGAGCAAGGACAAAGTCTTTTTGAAAACATTTCAAGTGTTAAAAAGGTTATACTGTCAATTATCTACCAGAGAGAGAGAGAAATCACCTTTTCCTTTGTTTTCTCCCGATGCAAACAACACATATTTTTAGTTTTTCAAAGACAGACGTCACGTCTGTCTTGCAGCAATTCAGTATTTCCTTCAGCTTTTCAATCCTCTCGTTTGTCTTTTTCACTGCCCGTTGCTATCTTTAATCCTGTTTCTTTGCTTCTTTTTATCTCTTTGTAGAAATCCCATGTGCCATACCGTGACAGTAAAATGACTCGCATCCTACAGGACTCGCTGGGCGGGAACTGCCGCACCACCATGTTTATCTGTTGCTCTCCCTCTAGCTACAACGATACAGAGACCAAATCCACCTTGATGTTTGGCCAACGGTAACGTTCTTCCATGCTAAGTAGCCATGAACGTCTGCGCTGCGAAACACAGCACACATTTGCGTCTCTCTCAGCTGCAGTCGCGGGGATGTTTTTGCTGAAATGTGCTCACCTCAGATATGCTGTTCACATATTACTTCCTCTAACTTTTCCTTTGACGAAGTTGCTTTAGAAGCAGGCTATTTTTTTGTAGTTTGGGTCTTGTTTGTTCAAAATCTGTTTTACCCCACTCTTCAGATAGGTAAGCTGCATTCATGGAGTCTGATTTGGTTTGCTTGCCAGATTTCCTCTCTTTACTTGCTGTCGACTTAAAAAAAACCCCACAGATTGAAAAGAAAGATCCTGAAAAGGCTTTTTTGTGGGCATCCAGCCTTTCCGCCCTACCAATGAATTGAGACTGACATTGGAGTGTTGGTTGAAATAAATAATGTATTACAGAGCAAAGGCAGTTAGAGAATTCACAATGGATGTTTGAATTTAAAGATTTGGTCTCTTTTCTCTTTTGTCAGAAGCACTAGCTGTACAGTGCCAACAATTATCTATTTTAAAGATTAATAGAATGTATAAGAAATACAATGACGCAACAACATTGTCATCCCCTATGTAGCCGGTGTATCAGAGAAACTCAGGAGAGTTTTCTCCAAGCATGACATCCCGGTGTATTTCAGACCCAGCAACACACTCAGACAGAAACTGGTTCACCCGAAAGACAAAACGCCAAAACACAAACTTAACAACGTGGTGTATGCTGTACAGTGCAGCGAGGAATGCCCAGACCTCTACATCGGAGAGACCAAACAGCCACTTCACAAGCGCATGGCACAACACAGAAGAGCCACCTCCACAGGACAAGACTCAGCAGTCCATCTGCATCTTAAGGATAAAGGACACTCTTTCGAGGATGCCAATGTTCACATTTTGGACAGAGAGGACAGATGGTTTGAAAGAGGAGTGAAAGAAGCCATCTATGTCCACTGTGAGCGACCATCTTTGAACAGAGGCGGTGGTTTACGACACCAACTCTCTGCCATCTATAATCCAGTTTTGAGATCCCTTCCCAGACGCCTTAACGCCCACTCACATCCTGGGCCATCTGACCTCAGGAATTCGCATGACAAGGTGAGGCCAGGTTTCACAATGAACCCACCTGAAACTCTGGCTGATTGGGGCCCGCACCCAATTTCACACCTTGGCTCAGGTGATTAGAGGATCATCAGGGGGTCCTTTTGTCCCTCTGTGGGGGGAAACTCCCACTAGGTTTATATCTGGGACTCTCCACCATTTGACCTTAGAACTGAAGAAGCTTCTCGGATGAGAGGTGAAACGTCTTCAAGCAACTTAAAGAAGTCCAGACGCTTTTCTTTGCAAGCTCCTTTGACTACGATGACCTGGATGACTGAGAACCTTCACAGACATATAAGAAATACTGTAAAACGACATTAAATACATCTGCCCTGTAGAATTCAGCATATTTTCTCAGAAAAGCCTTTGAATGGACATAAAAGTCAACAGTATTAGGTCTGCAATCCTAGCTTAAGCTCATTATTGTTGTTATTGTTGTTTCATTCATTATTAAAAGTACAGGTTTTATGGGTGGACTGTGTATTTATGCAGAGCATAAATAAGTCATGACCACTTTGTTCAGCATTCAGAACATATGCCACCTGATGTTTGATTTTCAGCATTTCCCTATCCAAACAACATGTTATCTATATTCTGATGTGATGAGACTCTGGATAACACCGTTTGTCTGACTAATGTCAGGGAATAATTGAATACAGACAGTGTTTTCTCACTGAAGTGTGAAATGAAGGGAAAGCCACTGAGTGCTGCAGGTGTTTCAGTGTAACTGTTTCAGCTGTAAAACCACATATTTTTGTTGTATGGCACTGTGCAAAAGTCTTGAACCACCCTCTCGTTTCTTTATATTTTCCTTCCAAGGAGCCAGACTTTCAGCATTTTTGTTAAAGTGATCTTGAACAATAGTTCTCTGGGTTTTCTGAAGGTCTTTCAAAGTTTTTCTTGGACATTTCCTATTTTTTAATCCAGTCCTTGAACTCGGTCATTTTCAGGGGAATGTTTTTTTAAGGGTTTTCTTTTTTTTTCTCCAAGTGAAGTAAAAAAAGGAAATAGTAGGTCAAAAAAACCACCTACAGCAGATGACCAGTATCCAAAAGTAATGTCCTCAAGAAATGGGGAGGAAAAAAACTAGCAAAGATCTGACACAGGACCTGAGAGAAGCATCTGGCCCTTCAGTTGATCTGTCCACTCTTCACCAAAACCTCATCAAAATAGTGTTAGTGTAAGGGCAGCTGTCATTTCTAAGGAAAGGAAACAGGGGGAAGAGAGGCTGACGTATGCCAAATTACAAAGAGCTGGACTAAAAACCAGTGGCAACAGGTCTAAAGGAGTGTTTTTTATGTATGTCAGTATTTCCAGTGGAGTGAGATACAACAGTGAGTATCTACAGACATCTGTAAACACTCTGTCATGTGTTGGAGGTTAATTTCAGCGAGTGGTGTAGAGGATCTTACCAGTATTGATTAAATTATGAATGCAGAAAAGTGCCATCAGATTTTGATCCACCATGCAGTGCCACCTGGAAAGCATCTGATTAGCAGCACCTTCATTTTTCAGCATGGCAATGATTCCAAACACACTGCCAGTGCAGTACAAGTATACCTGTGGAAAACTATCAGTCATGGACTGGCCTCCCCAGAGCCCAGACCTCAACATTACTGAAGCAGTGTGGGATCATCTCGGCAGAGAATGGAACAAAAAGCAGAAACATCCAAAGTAGAGCTTTGGGATGTCCTTCAAAAAGCCCGGAGAACTATTTCTGAAGACTACTTGAAGGAATTACGAGAGCTGCCTCGAAGACGTCAAAGCAAATACTGACCTTCAAGTTCATTAATTAAACAAACATAATTGTTTGTTTGCAGTGATTATGTTTCAGTCACTACAAAAACAAAATCTAAAGCAAGACTTTTTTGTGAATTATTTATCCTCCCATAAATACTCTACCTTATATGATAAGTGCTGTATATTTGATGTGAATATGCTTCAAGGGGGTTGATACATTTTTATATTTTAAATTCCTTCCTCTTCATCATATCCCTTTTAACCAAAGTTGGAAGAAACCCAATTTGCATACCAGTTAATGAGATGGAAACATATTTTCATCAAGCAGCTGCGACTGGAAACTGTTTTGACAGTTTCTCTGTTCTCTTCTGTTGTCTTGCACTTTCCTTTTTCCTCTCTCTCTTATCTATATATTTCCCTCTTACCCTCCCCTCATACTGTTTCCTTTCCTTTCTGTCTTCCCTCCCTCACTGTATCCCTCCAATTAGAGCCAAGACCATTAGGAATACTGTATCAGTGAACCTGGAGCTCACAGCAGAGCAGTGGAAGAAGAAGTATGAAAAGGAGAAGGAAAAGAACAGGTCAATGAAGGAAACTATTCAAAGACTCGAGGCAGAGCTGAATTGCTGGAGGAACGGTAATACTTGCACTGATATAAAAAACACTTAACATCATCTTCCCCCAAGAGACGGTAAAAATAGTTGCCTGTGCATTTTGAGTTTATCAGTGAGAACCATGAAATGCATATATTTTCAACTGCGCTAATGCCAGGGACTGTGTGGGGATGTTTGCTGGTTGAGCCTCTTTGTTCGAGACTAGTGAACGGATTGCACTGAACATGTTCATGGTCTCAAGAGAATTAATTACTTTCCCACTAATATCAGTTGCAGTTTGTGTTTAGTTCTAATTAGCAAATGTTAGTATTATAAAAAGTGAAAATAGGATGGTAGAAATGTAATAAAACATGCAAAGCGCCAGCGCGGTGAGCATTTAGCTCAAAGCATCACAGAACTGCAAGCGTGGCTGCAGACGTCTTAAATTACTCCTATAAAAGAAACAAAAAGAGTGAAAATTGAGTGCTGGTTTAAGCAAATGATTGTAGATCTTGATCTTTAATCTTTTTTTTTAAAGATTAACTGCCTGCCATACAGTAAAAAGAACGATGGTGTTAAAAGATGAAAAGCTTGTGCTCGAGAGAGATGATACTCCGGCTCAGAAAACACTACTTTTCTGAAAAGAAGAGCCACTGCAGTGCATGTCCTTATCCCAGTCCCTTTTCATGCATGGAGGAGTATTCACTGACAGGAATGAAAATTTCACCAGCCCGCAGGCTTTATTTTGCAGTCTACGCAAGTGCAGATTTAACCTCATTTGATATCATCTGAATACCTGCCAGGGCAGATATGGGACAAGGGGAGCCAAACAGACTTGCTGGACTTGTGCCCAAAACGCTTAAAAATCCCTCCTTGGTTATTTTTATTCCATATTATTCAGAATTTTACACTTTGCATAATTGGATTCCCCCTGCACTGTATTGAAGGCAAGACATGATTCAGGCCTTATGATTTATGAAACCTTATGCATTAGTAATCTTCACAGAAGCGAGAGCTAATCACATCTACAGAAAAGTCATAACTTACACTGGTCTTCTCACATGTCACGCACTCACTCATAACTGTTTCAGTTTGCAGACAAAAAAACACAAGTATACGAAGCATCGTAGGCACACGCTTTTCCTGTTAATTACACTTGCACATGCGTCTCTTTTGTTAGACGAGGTCTTTTCAAATGTCAGCGCTCTCAGTGCTAGCGATCGGTTGACATTCAACTTGTGTAATGAATCTTTTCCGATGTTTTTCTCCTAAAGATCATTCCCTCCGAGCCTGACCTGAATTTTAAAAATGTTGCAACAAGGATTTATCGATCACCTCTTAGTGAAAATAATTTCTTTCATTCCTTCACCCCATTCTCCTTCACACACATAATCTTTTCCTCGACTGTCTTCCAGTCTCCCACGCAATTCAGTGCTTTTAATTTCCTAATTAATCATTTTGACAACATCGTCGCGCTCACTCCCCCCTCACTGCCCCCCATGTTGTTACCCACCTCAGGGCAGGAGCTCCTTGAGAAAGATGCTATTGACCTCCATCTTGTCCCGCATGCCCACAGACAGGAACGCTTGTCTCACACAATAAATTTCATTCAATTGCAGAGCAGGAACTCCTGTGGTGTGCAGTAGAGAGACACACACATGCAGGTCTTTGTCACATTTAATTTTGTGGCTACTTTTATTGATTAGTACACCGTCAAGTCAACAGGTGGAGCTCAAAGTGTCAGCTGGGTACATTGTGAGATTACTTTGAGCATATTAGAGTTAGAATCACTCCAGTTCTTTATTTAATCACTCCTCTACTCTAGAGCTACCTATCGTGCTTTTAATTAGTCAGATGAGTGCTGTAGTGAAGCCTTGCAGAGGCAGACGTAGTCAGCTTCTGAAATCAGTCAGCAGTAACAAAGAAAGTCTCTTCTTTCAACTGCATCAAGATGTTTACACATACATGTCGGAGAAAAGTGGTCACTGCAACACTGAATCTGCAATCCAGTTCAAAAGGAACTCATTCTTTCTTAATTTACGTCTGTTTTTTAACCCTAAAAAATACAAGCACTGGACACTTTACTAGGTACACCCCTCCCCTTTTGCCTTGAGATGACTTAATTATTCATTGCATAGATTCTACAAGTTGCTCAAATCATTCATCAAAGATTTTGGTCCATATTGACGTGATGTCGTCACACACTTGGTGCAGGTTTGGCAGCTGCACATACATGATGCGAATCTCTCGTTCCACTACCTCTTAAAGGTGCTCTGTCGGATCGAGATCTGGCAAATGTGGAGGTCAATTGAGCATAGTGAACTCATTGTGATGTCCAAGAAGTCAGTTTGTGACACGGTACATTATTCTGCTGGAAGCAACCATCAGATAATCGATGCACCGTGGTCATAAAGGGTCAGCAACAATACTCAGGTAGGCTCTGAATAATGCTCAATTTGTAGTAGGCGGAAAATATCCGACCACATCACCACGACCAGCCTGAACTGTTGATACAAGACAGGATGGATTCATGCCTTCATGTTGTTTCCACCATTTCTGACCCTACCGTCTATCACGCTCGTCGGACTGCCAATGTTTTTCCAGTCTTCTACTTAAGCCTGTGTAAACTGTAACCTCAGTTTCCTGCAGTGGTGTGGTCTTCTGCTGCTGTAGCTCATCTGCTTCGAGGTTCAAATGCTCTTCTGCATAGTCTGGGATGCGTGGGTGCATTTCCACATAGAGAGCCTCTGCTTTCTTATTTTTCAGACCATCCAATGTGGGATGAAAAAATGCACTCTGAAAACACCCAGATTAGCCTGTTTGGCACCGACAACTCTACGCTGAGATGCTGCTGTGTGATTGGCTGACTGAAAAACTGTGGCAAAAAGCAGTTAAACAGGTGTACCTAACAAAGTGGACAGTGATTGTAATCACTGGACATACTTTACAGCTTTTCTGTCTTTCCATATAAAGTAAACTGTGTTCAGTAATTCATTATGTGACAGGATCATATCTAATAACATAAGAATCCCACTATTTGTTAAATGAACAGACTGAAGTCTTTCACCTAACCTTCTGCTCTCACTGTTTATAAAGACATGTCATAAACCTCTTAATACTTCCAAAGGAGGGCACTAAGCTTGCAGGCAGACATTTTACCGTCCCCTCCACGAGGTGTAGAGTTTGCGTAATTATTTCTCTCACAAGCCAACTGACACTTTGATAATATGTCTGTTGTGTATATATTGTATTTTGCACTGCTGTTCAATCAGATTATATGGTAAAGAACACTCATTTTTGGCACACTGCATTATGCTTAGGGCACTTACTAAACTAAGGATTAACCTTCTAATCACATTTTATGCATTAATCCTTACGGTAGGATTTGCAGGAGAGATAAGAGCAGCACATTTTCAAAACCTGAGAAAAAATCTTCCCTTGTGTATAGGTGAGGATGCTGCTGTGCCGGGGCAGCTGTGTGAAGGATCTGAGGATGCCCCCCTGGTTCTTCCAGAATCTGAGGAGTCAGTTCTTGACGTATGCAGCCCCTGCACTCCTTGCACCCCCTGCTCTATTGCCTCCTCCATTGTGGTTCACATCTCTGAGGAGGAGAGGCAAAAGTACGAGGAGGAGATTCGCAAGCTCTACAAACAGCTAGACGATAAGGTAATGAACGAACAGTGCACGAGGATGGTTTGTGCACGGATGTAGAGCTCCTCACACACCACGGCTGCGTTTTCTGTAATGTTATGCACACATTAATTCAAAGACTGTGTCATGCATATATTATTTATGTTAATGAGTTCAGGATCATACACATAGTAGTGAGTAATGTAGCAAACACAGAGGAAGTAGTAACTCTGAAAAGTGTTAAAGCTTTAAATTATTTAAGACTTCTGCGTACACACGCGGTTTTATAATGTGTCATTTTTTGTGCCTGCATACTTTTTCATTACTAGATTTTTCCTTTAAATATGCAGAAGCATATACTGACATGTTTTCCTGTACATGCCTTGCTGTGTGAATGCACACACTGCCCTGTGTATTCATGTATCCCTGGGGATGCATATATTTTATTTTGTCTCTGCTGATGTGGTACAGTTATAACAGACCTGATGCATGATATTCTATATGTTAAATGTATTCGTGGATACAAATGTATACATAGCAGATACCTGGGATTTTTCTTTTATTGCACTCAGTCGCGGTGTACCTCGGATGTCCCATCATCTCGTATGGCGTGTGCGAGCTGCTGCAGATCACTATGTGACATATATATATTATTGTTTTTCTCTGGTAGCACTGACCCCGCAGCTTTTGTAGAGCCAAGCATTAAAAATCCTCCTCCTCTTCTTATGACCCCGGTTCTTTAACCTTTTGGTTTTTTTGGTGTTATAGTTTTGCATTATTGATCTGAGTATTTTCGAGTGTTTAGTTTGTGTTATAACTTAGTGTTAGGTCTCATTTCCTGTTTTATTTTGATAGTTGCTTGCCTCTAGTGTATTGTGTTTAGTTTTACTTCTCTTTCTGTCTTTAACTATTGTCACCTGCTGTGTCCACTTTCCTAATTGCCCAAAAAGTGCTGTCTTACCCTGAGTCTTTGTCTCAGCATCTGTTAATGTTCTCTGCTTGTCTTCAGATAGTTTTTAGAGTTTGTTTAGTCTCCCAGTGGATTTTGTGCTTTTCATTAGCTGGAAAAAAAATCCAGCATTGTCACGGTTCGGCATGGCAAACCGTAGGAGGTGTGGGGAAGGAGGACCCAGGCGCGGTGCTCTATGTACAAACAGTGCGTTTATTTACAGTGTATGGTACAAACAACAATAAATCCCCGTGCTTTCCCTGACTCCCGTGTCGTGTCTCTCCGTGAATAGTCCGTGTCTCAGTGCTCTCCGCTCCCGTGTCTCAGCACCCCTCGTGCTGGCTGCTGTCTGGCGCTCCACACTTCTCCTGGGGGACACAATAGACGCAGCCGTCAGGACACATATAACCGCGGGCATACACACACTAACTCAGTTCAACTGGATGACTAACGTGGAGTCTCATGGAATGATCCCGCGTCGGTGGGAGCTCCAAGACTCTCCTAAGTAGCTCCCCCGACGAGCCCTGATCAGCGGCAGGTGTGTAGCTTCGGGTGTGGCCAGTCCCCTAGCCGGGCAACACCCACCAGGCCTGAAGGCGCCTGTAAACCAGTGTACATACACACCTGCACCCATATACACACACACACTCACATCTACAAGCATGGAGAAGAGCAGCAGCAACACCAAAAATACATATAATATCACCAGTCCATGACTGCCCAGGGATCCTGGGTCGCTCAGACCCAGGGCCCTGACAAGCATGGTTTTGTTCTCCATCTCTGCATTTTGGTCTGCAAAGCACGATGTTTTCTTTAGATTATCAAACACCTGAAGAATCACAGATTACAGTATTAGTAGTTTCTACTGTTACCATTGGTAACATATTGGTAACATATGTAGTGTAACTAACACTGTCCTCCAGGATCTTGTTTCTGTGGCAAGCAGCTTATATCTACAGTGTGTTTGTTTCTTTGTTGGACTTATTTTCTGGCTGCTAACAACAACCTGCTCAGGAGGAGAGCTCACCTCCCTGTTAGAGGGGAAGCTGTGGAGCCTCCGACCACAGTCAAACACCTTGGACTGCATATGTCCAATAACCTTACATGAACTACAAGTACTGCAGTATTATTAAGAAAGCTCATCAATGGCTGTTTTTTATGAGGAGCCTGAAGGCCGGCCTTGGAGCTTGCATATGCTCATCTGACTCATAATCTGCACATATAAGATAAAGTAATTACACGTCTGGCTTGTAACCTAGATGGAGCCTTGTCTCTGATTTCTACTTTTCTTTGCAGGTGTCTGAAGGTATGCAGTGTTCTTAGAATTAAAACATGCTCATTACTTTAGCCCGTATTTTTTTCCAGTGAGACAGAAATCAGGGCTTTGGGGCATTTTTCTTATTTAATTACTTTTTTAAAAGAAGACACCTCACCACCTCTGGGAATTAGAGAGAATGAAAGTTTAAGGCACTTTGATGGTCATTTATATATAGGCACTGGTCTCACTCTGACTTTTTTTATGCTGATGAAGCCACTCTCTTTCTTTTGTCGGGTTACTGATCGATCATTTTGCCCATATAATTGCTGATGCCGTTCCCTTTTTGTCATAAATCAGGCCTTCGTTTTCTAAAATGTGCGCACAGTGGCAGATCCAGTTATGGTGAAAAAAAGATGTATGGGTATCCGGTCCAACATGCAGCTGTCGTCTATTGTAAGTTTAAAGCGTATAGTTGTGAATGGAAACTGAACACATAATACGACTGTGGGTGTGTGTGTCTTTCCCACTAAAGGATGACGAGATCAACCACCAGAGCCAGATGGTGGAGAAGCTGAAGGAGCAGATGCTCGACCAGGAGGAGGTAAAGGATCTTGGTTTTATTTCCTTTCATCAGTTTGGTTAAACAGCTCACGGTGGGCTGCAGTGTCTTTGAATGTGGAAATGAAAACTACACTGTGAATAGAAGTCAGCTGTGAGACATTTATTATCCTGCCCGTGAGATTACTGACAGAAAAAATCCTTTCAGGTGCCAAAAAGCACTTGAAGAAATTAAACTGTCATTGTTTAATTGTGAGTGTATCACTGTTGCTGTGTTCTACATGCTAGCAGTGCTTTAATCTAGAATAGAATTAAGTGGCTGAACAGCGCAGAAAAGAATCGATGAAAAGACTGAAGAATGACTGAAGCTTGTTAAGTATTCGTTTTAGAAATTGCTCCCTAACTTTTACACGGGGAACGATTGTTGTTGTTTTTTTTGCTGACATGACTGAACATTGCTGCTGACAAATAAACATGCTCTCTAGGGATTTGATCTATAATTGTCACTTCATCACATAAATATCTGCTGCAAGTAAGTAGATCAGTACTTGTAGGAAGAACAGCAATTAAAAGACTCCATTAAAACCCAATTAAGAGACATATTTGCAGCGTGTTTTCATAGGAGAGGCTAAACTGTTGAGGAAGAGAACCTAAAAAAGGCTTTGGGATGAAAAGGACTTAATTCATTCAATCATTTCCCAAATGGTCCTGCTGCGGGTTGAACTGACACAGTCCTAACTACCCAACCGTGGTTTGTTTATAGTAACGCAAAGTTACATTCATTTATCTAAATAAAAGCCGTATGCTGCAGTGCAAATATGCCGGCACTCCAAGCGGAGAACATCTACATTTAATGGCTTCCATTCAGTGAAATGACCCACAGTGGGCTGCAGCAGTGCAGCAAACAGCATGGTGGCACAAAAGCCATCTCTCAATCTTTAAATTATTCTTTTGTACAGTTGCTTGAATATTGTGTGACAGGGTTTGTGCAGACATTTAGCTCTTTATGCCAGAAAACAGGATAACTCTGTTAAGACCCAGCAGCTCTGCTCTGTAAATAATGAAGCGAGCGCTCAGCAGGGAAGTTTCACCGTTCCACTTTTAAAATAGTTTTTTCTCTATTTACAGTTTGCAATAAGTCGAATGTCTTTGCCCCTCAGCTTCTCGCATCGTCCAGAGGTGACAGTGAGAAGGTGCAGTCGGAGCTCGGCAGGCTGCAGGCCGAGAATGAATCCGCAAAGGCCGAAGTAAAAGAGGTTCTTCAGGCCCTGGAGGAGCTGGCGGTCAACTATGACCAGAAAAGCTTAGAAGTCGAGGAGAAGAGCATGCAGAACAAGCTCCTGGCTGAGGAGCTTTCAAAGAAAATGGTGGGTCTGACTTCCAGGAGGCTTTTTGAATAAATCTTTTAGCAACAAAGTTCTGTGGCTAAAATAAAGAAATAGATCATGGACAGATGTTGTGCTTTGGTGTGTTTACAGGGAAGCAAACTGCAAAAAAAAAGTAGAAAAGGAACTCTCTGTAATAAAATCATTTCTTCATTTAAGCCTCCATCTTACAATATGCTGAGCTACTGGTTCAAAATGCAATTAGTGAGATAAGTAAAATTAAAGCTGCATGTAAAGAAGATAAGAAGAAAATTCTGATGAATGGTGCCACCAGTGGTCATGGTGGCAGTGCGCCCCAGGGTGGCTGTGGCTACAATGTAGCTGCCATCAGTGTGTGTGAATGTGTGTGTGAATGGGTGGATGACTGGATATGTAAAGCGCTTTGGGGTCCTTAGGGACTAGTAAAGCGCTATATAAATACAGGCCATTTACCATTTACCATGAAGATAACAAAGAAAAAGTGAAGTATTGGGATTTCTTTTGTTTTCTTTCTCTTTTTTTTGCTGGTTCAATGTCGTGCACTATGACTCTCCACAGAGAGCACAGCTCTGACTTTGCTTGATTAAATGTATTTTTCACAGAAAAGCTTGTTTACTTGAAGAAAACAGTCACAACGCTTTAAAGTTTAGTTTATCTTTGATTTTTTTGTAACAAAGACATCCAGCCTTTCTGGATCGAGACCTTCCAGTGACTGTGTTTTCAGTAGTCATGGTCTGAAAATGTCTTGCTTTTGTGTGATGGGAACTTTCTGTTTTTACGTTTTTTTCTCTCTTCTCACTGGTTAGATGTGGGTGGGGTTCAGCCACACATAATGTCTCATATTTCTATGAACCCGTCAGATAGGTAGGTCTATTTTTTGACTCTGAGTCAAACCACACCTACACAGTCCTGCTGAAGAAGCGACATTGACTGTTAAACTGCTAATAAATATACTTAAAGACAGAGAAGGAGAAACAACATTTGTAGCACATTAGCATCTCTTCATTGGATTCCTGTTAAACTGAACTACACTCTCGTACAAGGTCTTGAATAATCAGACACCATCTTATCTTAAAACCCTCATGGTACCATTTCACACCAGTAGATTCTCTCACTTTCAGACTGGTTTACTTGTTGTTCCAGGAGTATTTAAAAGTAGAATGTGAGGCAGACCCTTCAGATTTGTAACCAACTACCAGTTTAGATTCAGGAGTGTTGGAGACAGACTCCATCTCTACTTTTAAGATTAGGCTTCAAACTTTCCTTTTTGCTAAAGCATATAGTTAGGCCTGGATCAGGTGACCCTGGATCCTCCCTTAGTTACGCTGCAATAGGTGTAGACTGCTGGGAGATTCCCATGATGCACTGAGTGCTTTGTCTTCACTCACCATGTGCCTACACACCTCTCTGTATTTAATCTTTAGTTATTATTAATGTCTGTCTCTCCTCACCCCAACTAGGTTCTTCCTGTAAAAAAGGAAGTTTCTCCTTCCTGGTGCCAACTCTTGAGCCACGGGCGATCGTGGCTCAAGAGTTGGCAGTTTGTCTTGTAATCAGAAGGTTGCCGGTTCGAGCCCCGGCTCCGACACTCTCGGTTGTTGTGTCCTTGGGGAAGACACTTCACCCATTGCCTACTGGTGGTGGTCAGAGGGGCCGATGGCGCCAGTGTCTGTCAGTGCGCCCCAGGGCAGCTGTGGCTACAATGTAGCTGCCATCGTGAATGTGTGGAGGACTGAATGTAGTGTAAAGCGCTATACAAATACAGGCTATTTACCATTTACCATTCCCACTGTTGCTAAGTGCTTTGTCATAGTGGAGTCATCTGATTGTTGGAGTGTTATCTCTGTATCATTGTACGTCTTTATTTTACAATATAAACCACCTTCTGGGGACTATTGTTGTGATTTGAAACTATATAAATATTTAAAATACTCTTACTCAAAGTAGCAATTTTCCCATAAATTTTGTAATGTTTACTGCCTTATTCTATATATATCTGATTATATTTACAATTTGGATAACTGTTAAAGTATTGCAGTAACTATCAAAGCCTGGTTGCAGTATATCCCTGATGCACACAACGTTGTCTGGTAGAAGAAAACTTACAGTGATAATTTACAGGCATTTTTTTTTCAGTTACATCGAGGGCTTTGAATAATTTCCTACCATATAGATGGATGTTTATTACCTATTAAATATTCAACAATACGTGTGTCATGTGGAAGTGTGCCTCACAGTTGAAAGAAAGTGTTACAGAGAGTTGAGCAGAATGAGTCGAGGAGATGAGCGTGCAGAACAAGCTCCTGGCTGAGGAGCTTTCAAAGAAAATGGTGCGTCTGACTTCCAGGAGGCTTTTTGAATAAATCTTTTAGCAACATAAAGCACATTATTTAAATAAGCCCAGCCTCTGTATTAATTGTCCTTCTGCAGCACAAATAAAGTGAATAATAGATAAAAGTCAAGAGGAGACCACTGGCAGAGCTGGTCAGAGCTTTGTGCAGTTCCTGACTTATTCAGTGATTTAAGTGACCATATTTGACCTTCTTATTAAATCCTCTTCAATATTTCATCAGTGTGTTTCAGTCTGCTGCACGTGTCCTTCTGTCTTTTCCTGTCTATCTCAGGAGCAGAAGCTGATTGAGCATCTGACAACAGAACCACCATTTAGACTGCTAAACCTGCCTGAAGCCGTCATTTCTCCTCAATAGCCTCTATAGCCTCTCCAGTCTGCTCTGCTCTGACCTGTCTGATCCTGCACAGAGAGTGTCTGAGACTTTGACAAGATATGAAACTAAGAAATAAGATTTCAGTGCTGGTAAATGCAGGTGGTGCTATAAGAGAAAAGAAATCCCCTCATCAAAATCTTTTGGAAATGGTTCTCAATCTTGAATTTTTAGGCACGTCGGTCTTGCCAGTTGTTACAGTAGAAATGGGAAAAGCTCTGGGAATACTGAAGCACATTCATCATGGCCGTCATCCCCGCAGCTGCCTTCATCTTTGTTTTTAGTGGGAACTTGTCGCTTCTTCTGCAGGTGTCCGTGCCATCGCTCACCATCACTGCCATTGATCGGCTACTTTAAACACCATAATTCATCCATCTGGCCATTGAAACCCATTTCTTATCAACATGATTAAGCCCATTCATCACGTCAATGAACCAACTCTATTCATCATCCCATGTTTTACTTGTTTATAAAAGAATCAGTTTCAGCTCATTATTACCTTAGTTTATCTTAAGATGACATTGTGACATGAGAAGTGACCGGGAAGACTGTAACAGAGCTTGAAGTGAATCACAGAGATGAAGATGGAAGAGCTGATTAAGGAGTATTTAAGAAGGTGGCTAATGGTGCTTTGAAATGACTGATGAACTGGGGAGCAAGAACATAAAACGTGCCATGAAAAATTGCTCAAGTAGAATATTTCACTGGTGACAGATGAGCCACTCATAAAATGAAACCCCATAAACAAGTCGGTATGCTTTCAGATTTCTTCGTTGGAACAACACCTTTATGGAAAGTCTTCCTCTTCTTCATCTCCTTCTTCTTCTACCTATTCTTTCTTGTCATCATCATCTTCTTCATCTTGTTTAGGGTCATAGGTCATTCAGTCTACTACCCAACTCTTGGTCTCACATGTGTGAGTAGGAGAAATGTCTTTAATGTTATGTTGCCAAACCTGACTGAGATCAAATGGTTTCATTGTGCTGCAGCACATTTGCCCTCCAGCACTGGTTAGAATCTGCTTGCTGTGCAGAATGGAAAATAATAAAGTAAACTCCACCGTGTACTCTCTCAGATGTTATTGAGCGCAGATGCCATCCACTCCTCTTCATGCAGTTTATTGATTTATAATTTGGTGGCTACTATGTTATGCTCCTGCAGCCATGTGTGTTTGCAGATTCGGGGAATCTAACCACCACTTCTCGGAGTCTGTCCTACACAATTTCTGTCTTTTTTCGTATTTGCATGCACCTTCTGGAGTTTCTCGCCTTAGCACAACGGCTCTCCCTAACACCTCTTATCTGCTTCACTCCTCCCTCCGCAGGCTCATCTCATGGCTTTAGAGGCAGAGCTGTCCCGTATCCAGGAAGTGAGCAGCCACCAAAGAAAACGCATTGCTGAGATTCTTAATGGGCTCATGAGGGACCTGAGCGAGTTTAGCACGATCGTTGGAAACAAGGACATCAAGTTGGTGAGTGGTACAGACGTGGATAGAGTGCATTTTTGTGATGAAAGCGACAACTGTGGTGTAGGTAAAATGAGAAAGATGATTCTCATGTCAAAGCAAGAAAATATACAGCTAAATTTAAGTATCAGTGTAGAAAAGGAATTTAGAGAAATTCAAAAGAAGACCCGAAAGCACAAACAAAAGCAGGGTTTAGTGTTGAGCTTATTTAGACTTGTCGGAGTCTAGTCAAGCGCAAAGCCTGAGGACAACATAGTCCAAAGAAAAACAACTCAAAAAGCAGCCGCAGGAAACATGAGAGAAAACGCTGGCAGTAAATTTTGGAGATGAACACAGATGGACTGATGATGGCTAACAACGAGAAAAACCAGAGTAAAAATACCCCGAACATTGTGACCACTGACAGGTGAAGTGAATAACACTGATTATCTCTTCATCATGGCACCTGTTAGTGGGTGGGATATATTAAGGAACCAGGGAACATTTTGCTTTCAGAGATGATGTGTTAAGGGGGGGAGAGGGCTATTGTGAGGATATTAGCAAGTTGTGATGGTTAGACGACTGGGTCAGAGAGTCTCCCAAATTGCAACTCATGTGTGATGTTTCTGGTCTGCAGTGGTCAGTATCCATCAAAAGTGGTCCAAGTCGTGGGCGGCCAAGGCTTCCTGGTGCTGACCCATGTGGTCGAGTCCAACAGATGAGCTCAATTTGCTGAAAACATTAATGCTATTTATTGTTTTAAAAGTTAATGTTGATTCTGATAGATAGTCAGAATGTTATGCTTGATCGGTGCACATAAGTAATTAACCACATGAGAAATTAATGAGGGATGACCAAACAATCTCAAATGGCTGGAAGGAAATAAAGACAGCAAGTAAAAGCAAGAGAGACAGTAAATACCAACAAAGTGAAATGCAAAGCATCTTCTGGCATAAAGCCGTGACAAAGCGCTCTGGTAGATCTGCCAAAAAGGAGACAATTAAATTTAAAAAAACTTACATATATATGTGTGCATGTGTATGCATATGAATATTTTCTGTTTGCTGATAAAGTGTCATTTTTCAGGCATTTCTCTTTAACTTGATTGGTTTGGCATCCATGTAAATTTATGCTCTGAATGAGCATTTAAAATAAATTTCTGTGTTTATAGACGTGACTTAAATCAACAGCTTTACATTATTCAATATAGTCAGTATACCACTCGCATATGCAGAATGTCGTGTATGCACATCCGCTATCATCTGTAGTGCTTAGATTGATGTGTATACATTTTCCTCCACACTTCATTTCGGAGCTTCTGAGTTGCTACATCTGCTAAATGAGACCATTAACCTAATGGCTGTGCATACAAAGTGCCAGAGTGTTTCTAAGATGCTTCCCTTTCCACTGATTTAACGCCCATGCTGTGTTTAAACAGTCCCCACTCAATCCTGATCAAGCATCTACTAGACTGATTTTTTCTTTTTATTTAACTGTCTCCTCGCACTCATTCGTCTCCAGCCTGTGGAGATCACCGGAGCGATCGAGGAAGAGTTCACAGTGGCTCGCCTCTACATTAATAAGATAAAGTCAGAGGTGAAGTCCATGGTGAAGCGCTGTCGCCACCTGGAGAACCTACAAACCGAGTGTCACCGCAAGATGGAGGAGACGGGCAGAGAACTGTCTTCATGTCACCTTCTCATTTCACAGGTAAGATTGCAAACTGAGGGATAAATGTGTTGTTGTTGGGTACCAAATCAATTGAATTGAACTGAATTATTAAATCTAGATGAACCGTAGGATCTAAAATAAAATGATATGGGGGTACAAATGTTTGTTCATCTGGTACTAGACAGAAATACTAGTGATACTGATACTGAAACATTATCAATTAACACTTCAAAAGGCTCACTGGCTTGGGCAGGTGACCCATGTCTCTTAAAGCCCTGGTTTCAAATCTAGCCTGAGCCATTTGCTGCATGTCTTTTCCCAGTTTTCCTGTCATAATAAAGGCTGAAAAGCTTTAAAACACAGTGTAGCTACTCCCAACATCTTAACATGACCCAACTCTTTGTGGGGTGGATTTTTCTTTTTGCTTTAGACATTTTTAGTCTGCGCAGGGTCATAATTCTCAAATAATTGCATGTTTTATATTCTGTGTTCATGTAGTGGCCTGAAGCCACGGTTCAAATTTCGCTAACTGTGGTATTTAAACTACACTCCCCGGTGACAAGAGATCATAAATATTCATTGAACAAAAAGTAAAAGTGCATTTTATCCTTGATGTAAAGTGTCCTCGTGGGTAGAGGTCTTTGCTCGTCACTAAACTTTTTGCATATGATGTTCTGACTTTCAGCACGAAGCGAAGATTCGCTCTCTAACAGAGTACATGCAGAACGTGGAGCTGAGGAAGAGACAGCTGGAGGACAGCTATGATTCTCTGACTGCGGAGCTGGCTAAACTCCAAGCTCAAGGTACATTTGTTATAGCCCACACTAGTGAAGCAGCGCAAGTATCTAAACTGGTACGTTTACTCTTTTCTGATTACTTTTTTTAAATAAAGCTCATTAGCCAAACATTTTTTTTTTCAAATAAACTTGATTTGCCTTTTTGAATTATCATATCGTTCAATCATACGTATTCAACCATGTAGAAGTACACTTTAGAAGTTGTGTTTTTAATGATTAGATATCACTGGTGTGGTGTGTAGTAGTACAGTTAATAATGTTTGTTTCAGTCACATCTGCTGACATTTGCATTTGTATGTTGAAGTATTGGGGAGATGAAGAGTCTCCTCTGATACCTCCATCTGGGTTTAAAGATGTATGCGTATGCAGGTTGTAGGTAAAAAGGTGTTTTTTGTAAATTACACTCCATTTACTGTGAACTAAACTAGGAGAGGGCAGAGCACAGAACACGAACATGTAACATACGTGTCATTGGAGTTATTTTGTTTTACTTGAAACAAAGAGTTTTTAAGATATGAATTTGACTTGGATTATAAATCAGAAGTAAAACCTCTGAAATGTGTCCAGAGGTTGAAATTCTGTAGTAAAAAATGCTTCTTTAGTTGGAAATAATGGGCAAATTGGCACATTTCGAAATTTTGATAATTCAAGTGGTTAAAAGGATTTTTTGAAATTCATGGCTCTAGAGGGAAAACCAATTTTGACACTATCCACATTTGAAAGATTGTTTCAGTTTTCTGCTGCACTATACAGTGACTCCATCAATTTCCTTTAAATGCTTATCAAATTCAAAGTCGCTGAGGTGTTGGAGGTTCTCAGATTTCAGATAATAAGGTCAGCATTTTTACAAATGTGAGCCAAAGGATCAAGCTTTAAACTGTTTTTTCTACTGATGGTTACACCTGATGATGGTATGGTATGGTAATTTTGTGACCACATTGCTGCCTGTGAACACAGAAGCACCACCCACCTGTGGTTCCAACCTTCTGTTTGTTAGAGGCAGCCAGTCAGAAGAAAGTCAACTTGAAGGGAGCGTGGCCATAAGAGGAGAGGAGGCAAACTCCTTATTTCAGACAGAGGTTGATCTAAGATAATACAGCGTTGATAATAACGACTATTTTAAACATGTTCAGTTGTGTGCATAAAAAACAATACAGAGTAAGAAATCAGCATAATAGGTAAGCATTTTACTCATTTTAGTTTAGTATATTAGAGTTGGTGATTGGTCATGATCTAATGCAGTGGAGAAACACAGATTTTGATGATGATGATGAAAGTGACAATATAAACAGCAGCATCGTATTTTTGTCTGCACTAAAATGGTAAGTGAGCAGCCACCGTCTACAGAGATAAGTATCACTAAATACACTGCAAAAATTGGCTAAATATAAGGAAAAAATATGTAATTTGAGAAAATCCAGACCATAATCAAGTAAAATAATAAAATAACACTTGGTAAGATTTCTTGAAATGAGAAAAAAAAAAGTCTAAACTTTAGTCAAGTGAGAAATCTCTTAAAAGAAGTGTTGACACACTCATAACAAGTGCTTCATAAACCTTTGGCGTTGCTTCATTCTCACTTTGAGAGAAATGATCTTAGAACAAGAGCAACTGAACAAGATGCTTCCTCTGGTCCATAGTCTGTCATAGGGCTAACAAACACGATCAGTTTAGAATCAGCAATTAACTTAACTTGAATAACTTTGGACTGTGGGGGGAGAACCCACAGGATACCAGCACCTTCATGCTGTTAGGGTTTGTACAACAAAAGTCTAAGTGTGTGAACTGTTACTGGGAGGGCTTGTAAAATGATTTCACAGCTAAAAAATGCTTTTAAGATACAGTGCTGTGATCGCAGCCATTCCCCAACTCTCTGTGAATGGTACTTATGGCCATTGATCAAAGACCATTGATCAATGGCCATGAAAATGTGCATATTAATGATCGAGGAACTGACCTCACAGCCCAATGTTCATTCAGTGGTGCTAGTTTCAATCATTGTACTGTTTATAAAGTTGGGGAAACCTGCAGTCAGCTGACACTGAAGAAGTCACTTGGATGAGTAACGAAACGTTTCTCCCGCTGAAAACGCTACGTCCAGATAAACAGAATCAACCTTTTGGGACGTCTAAGATACAATATCATCTCAAATAGTGTCTTGGTGATATAAATGAGCCTAATATGCAGGGAAAGTAACTAGTTTTAGGGTTTATAAACTAAATAAGAAATAACAGACATATATTCTCAAAAGAAGATCTTATTCGTTGTGCTCTTTCTTAGTATTTCACTCTCAAAACAAAATCAAAAAGACTTTTTGGGTGGATATAAGATTGTGAGACTTGGTCAGTTAGACAAGTTTTGGAGTCTAAGTGTACGAGCACATGTTGCTGAAATACTCAGTGGAGTTGAGGATTTGAGGCCAGTCAATATTAGTTCAATTTGGCAAGTGTAGTATGTGGGTACTCCTTTTTATAATAGATTGCTCTAGGCTCAAGTTAAAATGTTTTACCTACGAGAGCAAAATAGCAAACTGGGAGCAAAGATTTTAGTATTCATTCAGACTCTTTGGTGAAGAAAATTTCAATATGGTCCGACCAGAAAAAAGACAGATTTACACTCAATAAATAGAGCCAAACACAAGTTTCCAGGAGTGAAGCCAATCTTACTGTCAGCAAAACAGGTCTTTTCTCAATATAAACTCAAATGAAGTAAATGCAAGAGAGTTTTCTTCTAATAAATGCATATTTTTCATTAACAAATATCCTAAAGGGGTTAAAGTGATACGTGGTGACGCTGTCATTTCGGGACTGACTGCAAAGTAAGTAGATTAATCCACTACTGATGTGAAATGCCGGAGTTAAATATAATGTCAGTGCTCTGACTCAGTCAAGCCAAATAACGTCAGGACAAAGTAAATAGTGAGAAGACAGAAAATATGTTGCTGCATTTTAGTGTCTCTGGGCTAGAAATGGGAGGAAGTAGCTTCAGGTTGCTATCTTTAATAGAGCTTCAGTTGCTTCCAGAGGCCTTTTTGTCCTGTCAAGCAAAAGAAAAACAAGAACACAAAAAAGCTTAAGCTCCCAAACATTTCACAACACCAGCACTAATAGATTGATTTTACATTTGAAACTCATGCAAGGTCCAGCTGTAGATGCTCCCACAGTACACTGACGCAATTCCCAAATAAGGCCAAAGGCAGTGTAAGTCACTCTTCCCATGGAGTCTCACAGAATGGCATTAAACAACCAGTGGAATTAAGGGCAGGGAAATCAATTTTAGTCCTGCTCAGCAGTCGAGTCAGACGGTCCTCAAGCCATAACACAAGCAGATTAACACAAAGTGCTGCAGGTCACGTTGATCGCACGGTGTGGTCTGAGGTAGAGCGCTCGGTAATTTCATCATCAGACACCAGGAACAGCAGTGAGTCAATATCAGATCTGCATGACACAATAGATGTCATTTGCAGATAGATATTATCACACCCGAGACATCACTTAGATCACGCTGCCTTCGCTGTCAACATGAAGTGGTGATACTGCTGTGCTGTCAAAGTCAGGTCACCATCATCAACATCTGTGCGCGCCGCTTTTATCTGCTCCTCTTACCGCCATCCTCTCGCTCTTTCTCTGTGTGTGTGCTTATTTCAGAGAGCATGTCACAAGTGACCAGGGGGGAGAATCACACGTCTGCCCAGAACTCCTGTGATATAAAGGTAACCATGACTACAGTGAGAGCAACTTGATGTAATGACCTTTTCTCGCACCCTCTCAGCCAACTGCAGGTGTGCGTGTGCGGGGTGTGTGTTTGCCTGTGACTGCACGTGTAGTTGGACTCAAGTGTGTAAATGACTGTAGGAATGATTTAATAAACTAAAGAAATTGTTTCATATATTCGGAAATTTGCTTTCAACCCCTTTTATTGGTAGTGTTGATAAGAAGATGACAATTTGATGTCTGTACAATCATTCAGACACTGCAGCTTTCAACTCATTGCCTTAATTTAGAATAAAGACGCAATCATAGCAAGCTCGGCAAGGAAATGATAACTCACTGCCCTCTGGAACAGCTATAGTTTGTTAGGTAGTGGCTGCACAGATTATTGATTGTCATTCTGGCCCCTAGAAGCATTTTACATCATTCACAATCATCGAGTGGTAATATGAAAAGCAGATATCGGCATATGAATGTGACGAATCTGTAGGCAATGGGCAATATTTCTAGTACTGGAAGCTGTTTGCTTTTTGTTTGTGGTCAGTTTGTAGTCCAAATACCAGTGACCAATCACAACCAAGGCCTAGGCAAAAGAGGGAATGCAAAACAACGAATAAAAAGCAATCAGAGGAACATCCAATGATGTTTTAGTCTTGCATCTTAATGTAAATCTATCTACATGTGTCCTAAACAATTAACTGCAAACAGCAAAACAGGAAGTCTCAAATATCAGATGGTTACAGGAAGCATGGCCACAGGACAGCCACAGAGTATCCTCACATTCAGCCGTCAAACTATTAAGTGACTGAAAACCACAAAGATTCATAATGACTTGATCAAAATGAGATTTGCCTAAAAAGCAGCACATCTTTACAAGGTCAAAAGATTTGACAGAAATGAAGGATGAAATTCCAGCGATGCCAAATTCCCAAATAAAAGTAAACAGATGTAGTTTTCAGCTGCCAGACACTTTTAAACAGCTGGCGTTGTTTGTTGTTTTCATTATCTGCTTGTATTTGTGGATGTGTTCGTGAGAGCATCGAGAGCACACGAGTGTGAGCGTTCCTGTGTGTGTCACGCTCCACTTTCAGTAGCCGAGTCTCACAGTCCCGTCAGTGGTAGTGTATGGACACCGTGGGGTGTGTAAGTTTGTGTTTAATGCCCGTGTGGTTTGGCATGTCCACATGTGCACCGGTGCGTGTAATTTTCTTCTCGTTATTTAGTCACTTTGTTCTCCTCTGACTCCCGTGTTACGATACTCGATCTGTCTCTTCCCCCCTTCTGTCGCCAATACCCCAGAGGGCTCTGGAGCAGCAGATGGAGTCACACCGTGAGGTGCACAGCAAACAACTGGGCCGCCTGCGAGACGAGATCAATGAGAAGCAAAAGATCATCGATGACTTAACTGAGTGAGTGCTTCACCGTAAATTCTTTACTTTTCAAAACCAAGACTCAGTTTTTGGAAATCTGTAACTTGTGAAAGAGTTTGAAAAGAAAAGTATTTTAAGGTAAAGAATCAAATCGTTCCAGCAGAAAAATCACAAGGATGCTATAGAAAAATATTTCTTTCAGTCGTTGAGACCGTGGCACTGCGGAAATATAGGCCATGAATGTTTTCTAAGGGAGACAACTTACCGTACCACAGCAACACAGCTGCATGCTCAAATTTGAAATTCAATTTTACCCTCATAAGTGGTTTGTAAACGCTCAAACTGGGAATACATGTTTTCAGTATCTCTCAAACCTTCAACACGGTCTAAGCCCCAATGTTCAGACTGGCTGAAATGAAAACGTGTGGGTGGTTTACATGGTCAGGAAGCTGCAGAGCCAAGCTGCTACAACCCCAATGCGAGGAGCCACTGGCCTGGTTTGGCCTAAATGAAAACCCATCCCTTCAGGTACCTTGTTCTGATGATGTACTACACCAAGCGTGGCCATCTGGGAGGAGACCACTGGGCAGACCCTCTCTAGGGACTAAAGTACATTTTCCAGCTGGCCTGGGAGTATCTGTTAACACCCAAGGAGCAGCTGCAGAGAATTTCAGTTTGAACAGACATTTGGTGCTGCTCTGCTTATCCTGCTCACACAGCCTGATTTGGATAAGCAGCTTTAAAATAGATCGGAAGGATGGATGTCGGTGAGGTGGAACGCATATAAAACAGGAGCAGGGATGCCCTCCGGATCCTTTAAAGAGAATGTCAAAAAGTAGGTATACATTAAATGGTAGTGCAGATTGCAAGGATCACACGCAAATGCAAATGTTTACAGGTGTGCACCCTTTTTTTGGTAAGTGCCACTGAAAAATATGTTGTGTCCATACTCTAATGGGGCATTTCAATGCTCTAGTTGTGACCTAATTACACACTTGGGCTACTTAAGTGCCCCTCTGCTCTGCCAAAATGCCTGTCTGGCCAGTACAGCCATGATTTGAATTAGGGGCAAAAATAAATCCTTACACTGCATGCACTAATGGTGCTTCTTCATCATTTTTGCTCCTGTGCACACCACTGAGCTGGAGCCATATGCCTGGGACTGGAACAGACAGCTCTTTTCTCATGTGACAGAAAGGTTTTGTAAGGATACCCTAATTAAATAAAATCAGAAGGAAACCAGTTAAAAGCAGCTAAGAACACTTAAAGGCATACTATGTGGGATTTTTGTAAAGTATGCACGTGATCATCACCGGTGACTCACTGGAAGTGTTTGCTAGAGATGATTAAACAAAAAAAAGTTGTTGGGCATCAATCTTTGGGGTGTGGGGGTGTGGCTCAGAGAAAATAATAGCATGAAGCTTGTGGCAATAGGAGTCAATAAAAACTTAATGACCAGGTAGCATCCCATCCCAATCTTCCCCGAGCATTTTGCAAATGTATTTATTTTTTATTTTAGAACTACTGTGGAGCAATCAGAAAATACAAATGTGTCCTTTCTTATTCATTCTTTTTTTTTCTCATCAGTGCATCTCACTCTTCAATCTCCAGCTCACTCGCTGTTCTCTCTGCCTTAGAAACAAAACTAACCTCCATTTTTTTAATTCCATTCCTCCAAACATCCCAAGGGTTGTGCTTACGTTGCTAATAGCTACATCCCTGTGTTTTTGTAATATAAAAAGATAATATATAAAAGATGTCACGACTGAGTCACTTAACACCTTTTTTCAGTTGTAACCAGAGGCAGCAGCTGGAGCTAGAACAACTGCACAGTGACTTTGAACGTCTCAGAAGCCGAGAGCATCACAAGAGCCGGCAGCTGGAGGAATTGACGTGAGTTGCTGCTTTACTGTCCTGGCCGGCTTTCAAACACTTCACCATATGGAGGCCTGGGGGCGAGCTGAGCTGCCTCTTTTGATTTGCGTCTTCCATTTCTCTCTGTCATTTGTCTTCCTTTTGTCTATTTATTTTCCTCACGCTCGGGAGCTCTGACTGAATTCTATTTACAGTATCTTACTCTTCTGCTGTTAACTCTTTCTTAGCCTGCTCCTCTCTTGGTCCTTTTCTTCCTGTCTGACTCTCTTTGCATCTCCATTATGGACTTTCAGAATAAGGTGGCAGCTGGCAGCTAATAGGCCTCTTTCTACTCTGACCTTTGCAGCATATTGCATCAGATGGCAGATGGATAACAGCCCATGAGTGGGGCAGGCATTATGTGCTGCCTTTGTTCTCTATTCATGAATTATTCTGGCAAGAATTTGGTAATTGTTTGGATAAAGAGAAGTTCAGTTTGACTCTTCTATGCATCTGTGTCTGAGCATTTATCTGTCTGTCTATAGATTCCTCCATGAACGACACGAACAATCAAAACAGGATCTGAAAGGCCTGGAGGAAACTGTTGTAAGTTAATAAATTCTGTCACGATTCAACGACTCAGTCCTCTCGAACTGCTTTAACTGCACTATTTTCTCTGTTCCTTTATTCACACTGCAGGCTCGTGAGCTCCACACCCTGCACAACCTCCGCAAGCTTTTCGTTCAAGACCTCACAACTCGAGTTAGAAAAGTAAGAGACATAACTAAACCCTTTTTACTCAACACATAGAAACAGGTGGTTCTGTCTAGAGTTACAGTGACATTTTCTATTCTATTTTCTATTTCATCTCCTTTTTAATCGACAGAGTGCACAGATGGAGCCTGATGATACTGGCGGATACATCACCCAGAAACAAAAGATTTCCTTTCTTGAAAACAACCTGGACCAGCTTACAAAGGTTCACAAACAGGTAACAGCACACAGCTCCTACAAAACTTTAATTTATAGTGACAGAAACAGGAAACATTTGACCTGTCCACACCTAGTTTGAAAATTAAGACCAATGACCAGGTTCCCTTTGACCAGGGGGCCTGATTTCCCCTCTGCAGGGCTGCAGCAGTAAATCAAAAAAATGTCTACGATGAATATGTGCGGCGGACAAAGAGGCACAGACAAATTCAAATACAGAGCTGTGTGCACTGTTTGTCATTTCTCTCCTGTGGGCAAAAGAAACGCTAGCACGATCGATCATCTCACTACACCAAGTTCACATGAAAGTCTCCTTGAAAACAGAGCAGCAGGATCTGTTAACCCCCCCTCTGTCTCCAGGGAAAGGACGCCTCACTGTATAAAACAGTAAGACTTGAACACTCCTGATGCAGGTGCAAACAGGCATTCTCGTTTTTTTCTCCGCACTCTGGCTTCCACACAAACTCTGAAAACCAACCTTGCTCTCAGAAAGCCATAAACATACGCACACACCTCATATTTTTAATATTCCTAAATGGACTACCTCCGTGGACTAAGTGTTGGATGTGCTGAATGTTCTGCAGGCTGGCAGATTGGTGAAAGCTGCAGTGCAGCAGTTTGTCAGGCAGAAAACCAATCCTAAAGTGGCTGCTGGGAGACTCCATCCCATCCACCACCTGCTGATACTGTGGGAATGGAAGGCGAAAGTCATGGTCATAAATCAGCAGTAAAGTGATAAGGCTTGCAAATGGGCAGTGGACACTACACCAAAGCTGCAAGTTTCTCTGCCGCTGCACAGATTTAATCATCTCTGTCTGTCCATCAACTGTAAAAACTGAGCAATCGTCACTAAACTATCTCGCCAGCAAACAAACTAACGCCAACAAGCCACAGGTGAATATCCCAGACACATTAATGCTTTGGCTGCTAGATAACTTTGCCCATTGTGAAAAAATCTCAGCTATAGTGCTCATTATCTCTGCAGGGTATGGATTAGTTTGCATGATCACACAGAAGCAGACTGTCAGTGTTTAGGTGCTCACTTATTAACTTTTGCGTTTAGAGGAAACATGCAGCATGAGGCAGATTTAAATCATTGCATCCTCGTGTTGATTTAGCTTCATAAATAATAACTTCAGAAATATAGGCACATTATAATATTAACTGACAAGTGCAGATATGGATTTTCTAGGCCAAGGCTGATATATATGAATATTTAATACAAGGTATGGCCACCTCTGGAATGATGCAAGAAGCCACCTGTCTGTGCATGGACTGCACAGGTGTCTGGATCAGTTATCAGGAGCTGCTCTCTGTTCCTGGTTGAGTACAGTGGCATCGACCCTCCATGTCCCAGTTGTGTTTTTTAGGAGTCACACTGAGACTAAATGCTTGGACGGGGAATTTCTGGATATATACTTGTAACGTGGGACCCAAGAAACACGAGCCGGAGCGACTTTGACGATAGCAGAACTTTTATTAAACACTGTGGGTTTGTACAGGGACACAGACACTCCCGCTCTCTCTCTCTGCTGTCACGTCCGCCCTTCTCCTCCGACTGTCACTGCCAACATATAAAGAGACACAATCACTGTCAGATCCCAGCACACCTGTTCACCCCGCCCCTGCGCCGCCCCGGGAGCTCACTGCGTCACCCCTCCTCTGCAGCTGGCGAGAGACCACACCCACGCCACAATACTACTGATCCAGAAAGACCTGCAGTACTCTGGCAGTGTGGGGTCAGACAATATCCTGCTGAAAGTGCTGCAGGGGTGGGGTGCTACTGTAAGAACGGCACGACTGCAAGTTAGAGCAACTCGTCTCGGTATTACTGCTCATGCACATTTCCACCAAGTGAAAATCAGATCACAGATTGCCTCATGTGTCATGGACATCCAAAGATCCAACAACAGCTCCGACACGCATATCAGCATCTAGCAACTGTGTTCCTTTAAAAATACCCAGTTTAAAAGATCCATTACACCCACGGATTTAATACATGTTTAGGAAAATCATAATGATGATTATCATAATGTCACGCAACTGTTTACAGCATCTGCTCATCAAAGCTGCACAATATTCAAGAGGATTGTGAGTCTATTCTTCCCTTCTATGCTTAGGCTAATTCATATTCTCATGATGTTTTGAGGCTCTGCTGAGATCTGAGGTGTAGAGGAACAGCTGCCATGCTGGTCCCCTCTAAAATACCTTGAAACATTCATTCATTCATTTTTCTGTTTGTGTTCAGGCCCATTATTTTAATTCAAAACAGAAACTTAAATGGAGATGATTCACCAGAGTTGTCCTACTTTTTCCCGGTTGTAGATTTCTGATAGACTGACTCTGTGTTCAGGAGAGTTCAGACTGAAGTAGTTTTTACAACACTGGTGCAACTGTGGGCTGTCTCTTCCTGGTACAATTTTCAGGTTACACTTGATGTTTCTCTGTTCCACCCCACTGCACCCATTTGACCCTAACTGATCTGAAATGGACGTTATGGTCACACACTTCCTATGCTCCACTTTTTGTACTCTGCACTATATTCTTAGTAAAAAAAAATTCTTAGATTGCAAAACATATGAGCAACTCTTTGGGGAGGCAATGGTTCAGGAAGTAAAATGGGTCATCTACCAATTAGCAGCCAGTGGACTGATCCCCTGCTCCTTTAGTCTGCTTATAAAGTATCCTTGGGCAAGATACTGAACCCTGAGCTGCCCTGGTGCATTCATCAGAGTGTGAGTGTGTGAGAGTGGAGGCCTATAGTAAGAAAGTGCTTTGAATCATAGAAAATGTATAACTGTCTTTCTGTAGTCATAGCTTGTTTTTTGCACATGTCGGATTTGTGTTACAGCTGGTACGTGACAATGCAGATCTGCGCTGCGAGCTTCCAAAACTGGAGAAACGTCTTCGGTCTACAGCCGAGCGAGTTAAGGCGCTCGAGGGTGCGCTGAAGGAGGCAAAAGAAGGAGCCATGAAGGACCGCCATCGCTACCAACAGGAAGTGGAGCGAATCAAAGATGTGATGAAGGCCCGCGCTCCCTTCCGCCGACCCCATGCTGCGCTCATCGGTAATATATACAACTTGCTCACAGATTCAAAATAACAACCGCAGTCTGCTAGAAATTACATGACAGTGCTGCATGTGTCATTTCTGTAAAAGCTTTGCGATTGCTTTAACACTGCAGTATCTTTTAATCTGTAGGTAGCTGTAAAATGCATCCAATCATTTAGTCTGCAGCAAATTCACAGCCACTGCATCGTTTCATAACAGTTCAGAGACACATATGAAAGCTGTTTCTCAGTAATTGGGCAGCACAGCACCTGAAAAACATTGAATTTAAATCAACCGATTCATCAGAACATGTCGGTTAATCCACTCAAATGTGGTAAATCTAAAAGTCAGTTTAATTTTCTTTTATGATGTGATGCATAAGCCCCAAATTCAACAATAAAATAAGGGGGGAAAATGCATGCAAAGCCCATGCCACTTCCTTTGGCTGCACTGTAGGAAGGATATAGTATGTATATCCTCTCCAGCACTACATGTGTGATGTTGTACATGTAGACACCGTTGTGCGTTTCATCTCCCTCCCATCAGATCGCTTCCTTTGTAATGCAGCATGTGAGAAAAATCGTTCAGCATTGTGCAGCCATTCTTTTCACGTCCCTGTTGAGATTTTCCCACAAGCAGCATCCATTGTGTGCTTTGCCCTCTCTGCTCTACTCATCTGTTGTCTCCTTCCTACATTCCTCTTAACATATCACCACATTTTCACAACCTGCATGATCGAGCTGATGCCCTTTTCTTCCTCTTCCAATCTTGTTTCATATTCAGGAAGCAAACATGCATGTAACTGAATTCTCCTGCTGTGGAACGCACAGATATGCAAAGGACTGTTTACGTTGCACCGAAATGAGAAAAGAATTTACTTAAACAAAACAAAAAGCTGTCGAGAGAGTTTTTGCATGAAAGAATGTAACAGTTGGTGGAACATTCGGCTTCTAAGGATTTACGCGGTAGGCATATTCTCCTGAAAGAAATGCGAAACATTAGAATAACAGTGTAATTCAGTCTGATCACTAGCTTGCTACTTCAACTCAGATGCATGTGCTGCTGTAATGAGAAAATGAGCTATTGATTTAAATGAGCGCTTTCAGCATAATGATTTTCATTCGAGGATTAAAGCACAGCAAACAAGACTATCTGTGATATTTCGCTTTACATTAATATATTTTCAGTGTTGGGCTTTAAGCATCATCCTATAGGGCAAATTAAATATGTCTGGCTTTAATGGATGAGTGAATCAATCAATACATTGTTCTCTGTTATCACTTACAGCCAAGCCTGTACGCCCTGGCCACTACCCAGTCTGCTCTCCCACCAACCCCTTCTTTATCCGAGGCTTCAGCGATCAGCCCATTGCCTTCTGCAACGCTGTTTTCCACAACAGGAACCAAGCAGCCCCTGCTGCTGCTGCTGCTGCTGCTGCTGCTGCTACCTCTGCTCCTTCCTCTCCTATATCTGCTTCTCCTACTTCTCCCTCAACACCAGAGAGTGAGCCCAGGCTACCTGAGTCCAACTCCAATCAGAACAGCCCTGCCAAACACCTCGACTTCCAAAATAATGATGCACATGACAGCAATGTTCAAAACAATATGTGAGTAAAACAGCTGTTTTGGCGATTTTAGTCACTTTTTGTGGTTCTTACCATATTTCACCTTCTTGACTTTTTAATTAACAATCGGTATCATATAACTTTAACTAAGCCACACTTTCTGGCTCTCTCTGGTTTTATATGAGATCGTAATGAGGGGCAATACCTGTATGCCACTTAATGTTGTCTGGAACTTTCTTGAGCTTGCATCAAGAGTGTTTACTAACCTTTTTATCAGACCCACAGACCAGTCAGACTTACAAAAGAACCCAACTTCTTTCTCAATGTCTTTCATTTGAGTCATTTAGTGACTGATACCACCAGTTAATCCATTATGTTTACATAATAATTGGGTTTGTACTGTTAGCCTGCACTTTGTCCTTATTTTCTATTTTATTTATAATCTTTTAATCCATTAGGATTAACTCAGTGAATTAGGTTGTTTGAATGGATTTGTTTATCCTTACTCCTGCCTAAACATTTCCAACATGTATTTGCCTTTCGAACATTATTCAGCTTTTTTAAATCTCTGCCTTATTCGTGTCTTTAACATAACTTGATTGATTGTAAAAGTTGAGCTGTTCTTCGTAGCCATAGTTGGCTTTCTTATTTATTTCATTATGGTTTCAACTGCTGTCTCCAGTCAAGGATGACGTTTGTCTCTTAGTTAGAGTGATGTGAAAACCCTTCACATTTTGATACATGCCAATACTATCAATGAGGTAAACAGTTTGAAAGTCAATTTTTGATATGACCACCGTTCCTCTTTGACAAAGCCTGAAACCTCTTAGGCAGCTTTCTTGTGATTTCTGTAAGTTGTCTTCAGGAATAGTTTGCCAGGCTTCTTGAGGAACATTCAAAGCCTTTCTTTGGATGTTTCTGCCTTTTGTTCCTTTTGCTGTTAAGGTGACCCACACTTCATTAATGTTGCTGTCCAGGCTCGGGGGGGCCAGTCGATGACTGATTTATTGGTTCATTGTGTGTTTTTCTCTCTTTTTTTTAAAATATCCGTGTATGCTTTTTTTTATTTCAAATCACTGTCGCGCTGAAAAACAAAACTGACTGAAAATGGAGAAAAAGAGACTAATGTCCAAAAGAATATTGTTTGAAAGACTTTCAGACAAGCTGTGGACCTGTTGCTCAGGATAACTCGACCTGATATCATGTAACAGACACACTGGTGCATGCTTTGCCACGATACTTGGGCTAAGACCTTTGCACAGTACTACAAATGAGTTCTGTCTGTTGCTGTTCTAAATGCATATAGTCTGCACTCTGCTTGTGAAGAAGTCAAAAGTCTTCAAGTTCATAAAGTTTTCATGTTTTCCATTTACTTCAGCTGTTTCATGTGATGAAAACTCTCGATTATAGCTCGAGATTTTAAAAGATAACTTTCACGTAATGTTGACACGTGCTTGTGTTTCTGCTGTTACAGGCCTCCGGCTGAATCAGAAAGCCAAGCAGACAACGCTTCTGAAATACTCGATTCAGAAAACGGTGAGCCCTGTTCAGATAAAGCATGTAAAAAGTAATGAGAATTTTTATAATCGCAATCAGCAGAGGTAAATGGATTTATTTTTATGACTGTTTTTTTTAAGTGATTGTCATTATGCCATCATATAAACCATTAGGTTTGAATGTTGCTTTATATACTCTTCCAGATTGCTGGCTGTTAAAGCAGTGATTGCCCTGCTGCTGTCATAAACCTTTCTTTTTGTTCATATTACGTTTGTGTAATGAAGTTGTAGTCAGTAGATTTAACTCTCACTCTGAGCCAGTGGGAAGTGAAGTCAGGGATTTCTTCTCCTTCTGCATAGAGTGGTATTAGCAGGATACAGATGATCGTTTTTGTAAAACTTCAATGAAAAATGTGCAGTGAACTGCTCCCGCTGCTCGAGGTTTTTGTTTGAGGCAAAAGCTTTTTGTGTCTGTGGGTGTGTGTGAGTGTGCGCGCTTGTCTGCACCCGTCAGCGACAGACTCTGGAGGAGATGGATTAGGCTTGCTGTGTCATTACTCAGATAGAGACAGGTAACCAACAGACAGGCTGCGACGCCCACCTCAGCTTCTGACCCAGTGATGACAGTTGTTGAGTTGTGTAACAACACCACACCTCTTTGATTCTCAAGGAATATCAATAAAAGTCAGAAACGGGGTTTGTGCCAATAAATCAGTCTGCTGCTACAATATGAGCTTTTAATTAAATATCACAGATCACTACTGATTTTCACTACCTGTTTGAACCCTTAAAGGATTTAATCAGGCTTAGTTCAAGTCTGGTTTCCCATTATTATTTCTTCTGTCAACAATGCTGTGGAAGAAATGTCAATATTTTGCTCTTTTTGTCTGTAAATTTCTGATTTTTTCCAGCAGTTTTTTATTCATTCAGATTTATTTCTTATTTTCCTTCATACTAGGCAAATGTCTACTGTAATTATCATGTAATCAGACTTTTGAAGCCATATTTCTTCTGGTTCATCACTACTATTTACCGTTGTTCTTCTCAGTGTCATGAATTTCAGTGAGTTATGAAGAAATGCACATCTCAAAGATCAGCAGCCTCTTATTTCTTATTTATAGCATGTTTAAATGTAACATTCACAGTTACAGTGTCTACATGTGCAACATAACACAAGACAGGATAAGGATTTTTATTAACTGTCACAATATTTTTTTCTACTTAAGGGATTAAACTGAACAGGCCTCATAATCCAGTCAAGCGTGAGGTCCCATGATTGCATCCATCTCATCAAATTGTGCACAAATTAAATAAAGTTGCTTCTGTGCATAACAATGGATAAATCCACAGACGCTTGCTAAAAACTGAGAAGCAACTGAAGTGTCTTGTTATGTTTTGTCAATACGTTGTCATGCAGAAAGGCCAAGTGGATGTTTGGTGAAATGAATCTCTGTCACAGTAATTCAGGTAGAATGCCAGCCTCCGAGGGTTGAGTTAATAGAGTCGCTGCTGGGGCTGAATTCAGTTCATCAGGTTCTGCAGGATATAAAAATGATCCAGGAACCAGTATTAAAACCAGACCCAATTTCCCAAGAAAGTGTTGTTGGTTTTCTGCTAATAAAAGTCCTTGGGATGGTTGTACTTTAATGCAAGGACACCTTAGATGGGAAACACGAGGCACTTATGGTCAAATGGCAGTGTTTGCCACTGTTTATTGGTCATTCGTTCAAGCAATATTAAATGTGTTTATGTCCTGTAGAGATGTTACACAATGAAAACTCTTCAGGTGCAGGTGAAAGTTACAAAACCTATAAGTGACAGTCAGTATTTGTGTTACCATGGCATCAGTCTTTCTGGTAACTTTAATGATACGTTAGTAGAAAATAACCTAATGACCCTGCCCGTAATCATTCCCTAAGCATGAAGCTTTGGGCAGCTAAACCTGTGCTGGTGCTGCTTTTCCATCCTTGCCTTACTGATGGGGTTGCCAGATCAGTAAAGTGCTTGTAAAATGTTCTGTTTAGTCATTCAAATGTGAGATATTGGCGTCTAATACAATACATTATGCAGCTGCTTGTTCCAAGGCCGTCTAACTTCACTTTCACATTAGGCTGTTTTAATTGAACTTACGTGTCTGTTACAAACCCACTTTTCCTCCCTCACTTCACACGCCACCAACCTTGTCACTGTGCACCTGCCTGCCTCCTTATGCACTCTTTCTGTCCACAGGAAACACCACAGATATCAATGACAACAGGTAAGACCTGAGCACTCTTTTGAAATAACGGCAAAGCACCTGCTGGTGTCTGTCGCTGACTTACTGGAGGGTAGAAATATTGGTTGTAATTAGCTGTCTTTTAATTTCAGTGACTAATTAAGTTAATGCAGCTAGTAGCAGTAAATAATGGTAGAAGCATACATCACAAACTGTGCTGCCACATTTGTCTTGCACACACTGATCACACTTCTGTTTTAGAATGAGGACTGTAAAAGCATTGATTTGACTCTTTCTGCCATTTCTTTCTGCATCACTGCTGCCCCCTTGTTGCTGTCACTGCTACTGCTGCTGCTGCTGCTGTGGATGATGCTGCAACGACATGTGGTTCTGCTCTATCTGTCTTAGCATGTGTCTGAATGTGAATTCTGTATCCAGAACTGATGTGTGTGACAATCAGGACCCAGCTAAACTCTACAGTCTGCAGCCAGAGGCTTCAGCCAGCTAATAGTCCTGAGCAGGTAAGAAAGCAGAATGGGGAAGCTATTTATGGAGAAGATACACTATTAACAATTCATAACCATTCAAATTGGTCATTATTTATAATGGTTATGAATTCTGGTTGTAGGAGTACGCTGTGAATTTCTCGCCAAGAGCCCCAACAGACTAGAATCAGCACTGACAGATTTGGTAGTAGGATGCATAGAAGCGTGTTAGATAATGCCCGAGAATGGACATTTTCCTCAGTTCATCGTGCTGTAGTAAAATGCGATTAGAATTGATGTATTGGGTCATGAGGTCTTATGAATCAGCACTATTTCTTTAAGGCTGCTTGGCTTCAGCTCTTTGGTGCTTTGTGGGCAGCTGTAACAATGTGAGAAACCTGGGTGAGTTTTTATTTTAAGAGTGTGAGACACTTTGCACAAAAATACCTAACAGACATGATCTGTATGCACCTTCCTTTAAAAATACTTCACTGTTGACAGTGAATTGACCTTATTTAGGAATGCATATTTAATTTAAACTGCAATCATGTTAAGACTAATAATGTCCAATATGCTATATATTCCTCCACTCTGAGGAATGCAATGAAGATGAGGGGACGTTATTCTAACTTTTCAAGTCCTTTCAGCTGGAGTAAAGTTTGCAAGCGAGTAAATACAAGTCTTCCACAAAGCTGCTGAATTTTATGTGCTGTTAAATCTAAATCGTGCCCCAGAGTACACTGTGCAGTTCTCAAATAAAAGTAACTCCTTAGTAAAGACACCAGGTATAAAATGACTCGAGACATGTTCCTTCTGGCATTGATGGCATGACTCACTGGCTGCTGTCTCCTGTTTTCTGCAATCCTTTGCTTTCACCATTTCTCTCAAATGTATCTGTCGCTCTTATTCACTATTTCTGTCTATGTCTGTCTCTCTCTCTCTCCAGGCAGACGTTTTTTTCTGAGGCCTCTGTAAATCTGCATGCAGCTGATCACTGTCCTCCCAGACTCCCCTTCCTCTCGCATCCTCCTCACCTGCTGTAAACAGACCTCCTGTGTCTTTTTTAGGCACCCTGCTTGTTTTCTTCGATCCTTTCTCGTTTCTGTATTATGACTTGTGGGGTGTAACAGTTTGACAAGCACTGCATCTCAAATGCCTGACCTGGCAACCTACACCTGTGATGCTGCTGCACCCCCTCCCCCATGACTTGAAATATGAAGGGACCACAAATAGAAAGGTGGGGAAGAGAAAGTGCCGTGTGGTAGGTTTCCACTAGGTTGTGCTGTTTGTCTCAGTGAAAGACTCAGTGAGGGATGTCGGCATTGAGCATTATGATTATTATTAGAACTATCATCAGTGTCATTGATAAACATATGGAAAATCTAAAAGACAAAAAATACTAACAACATGAAAACAGTTTGATCCTTGTGATCACTTTTCTGATATTTATACTTTTCACTGCATGTTGATTTTCAATGTTGGTTGTCAGCATTTTTCAAAATATATGTATTAAAGAGGAAGAACACTAGTGAAGCAACAATATAAACATGTTAAAGTCCCAAAACCAGAATAGAAGATAAGCATCGAGATGTGTACGCTGTTAGTACCAAATCTCATTAGAAGAACAAAAGCCAACAATGCTCCAAGCTGTCTATCAGAAATCTGTGACCTCCGCAGCCTGTCTGTGGCTCTCAGTAAACAGTCAAAAACAGGTCGTGCCTATATTGTGTCATTTTTCAAAGTGAGTTTCAAAGTAATTCCCCCAAAATGTTTGAGGACTGCTCTTTTTAGCAAATGTTAGTCAGTGTACTTGTTAAGGACTATGTTCAATTATGGATATAAACACATTTGGTGCTCCGGTGAGCATTTACCGCAGCAGGATGATGTATGCAGGACTTACTAAAAATACTCCACGGTTCATAGTGATCAGGAAAAATGTTAGAAAAGTGTGAGAGTGTGGCTCAGTGATGAGTTTTTGCACAGCACATGAGAGAAAGATATGAGTATTCTTAGTAAATCTACTGACGCCAGCAAACTACACTCACTGGCCACTTTATTAGATATACCTGTTCAACTGCTCATTAAACTAATGCAATGAAGCATCGAGGCAGTTCTTCAGGCAAAAGTGGACCTAACAAAGTGTCCCTTGAGTTTAAAATACTCATATACACATATACTGTGGATGATACTTGGCCAGGGCTTAATATAGACAATAAACGTATGAGACTCCATAAGACTCTTTAAGGCACAAGTTTGTGCTTTATCAGCCTCAGAGGACACATTGTAGCAAGTTTTAGCTGTGAGCAGAAAGCAAAGACAAAAGCAAATGAAGACAGATTGTTTTGTAAAGACTCATCGTGTAGTTGTAAAGGCAACTTTACGCTGTAAATTATCCCTTAAAACTGCCTGTCAGGGATTGTGCGTGAAATATTTAGTCACTGTCATGTTATGCAAGAGCATGGCAGAGTGGAAAAAGTGTGTAGCAACTATTTTTATACTAGCTGGAAAGAAATATATTATTTATCGTTTGCTCTACTTCAAATATTTACTGGCTATTTATCTCTAATTTATAACGGTTTTCGAGTGAAGCATTATCATTTTGTTTTGATGTGCAACTGTATTATTTTTATAGTCCCTGTAGTGAATCATAAAGATTTGAGATTTCTGCAGTTTTGTGTGAGAGCCGCCGTTCCAAGAAACGTTTAACAAAATGACTAATCTTACGGTTCTTTGCTGAACCACCTCAGAGTGAAACCAAAGCCCCGACTGTAGTGAGTCACTTAAATAGGATCTTATTCTGTGCAAGCTCTAAGCTCTGCTGGAGACATGAAGCAAGGGTTACTCCAGGTTATCAAGAGCTGATACAATCCTGTCTTATCCTGCTGACTCACACACACACATGCGCACATGGATGTAGCACCTCATCAGCCAGTGAGATATTTGACCTTTGACCCCTAAGTACAGATAATGTATCAGTCCTGTATTGATTGGGTCTGAGTTCACTCGCACACTGACCGTCAGTAGCTCCTCGCCACCCGTCACATTCACTCTGTGCACCTCCTGATCAGACAGTCAGGATGGAAGGGTCAAGGGTGACAGTGGACATTGAGCTTTGCGTGTTTGTGTGCAGATAAAAGCTGTCTCTCATTAGCAGAGTTTTGCACCTGCTTCTAACCAAAATGGACCAGTAATGTGTATCAAAGCAGTCTACAGGTTAGTGTGCATGAACAACATATTTGTCTTTAAGTGGACGAAGGAAGGAGTTTTATTTTCTGAAGTGCACAACAGTGTGGCCGTGTTGCAGACATACACACTTCCTGTGCTGTGTGGTTGCTCAGATACGTCTACTTCACCCTGTAATAGTGTTTTTCTACAATGTTATAACACACATAGACTGTATATAAAAGATGGACATAGTCACCACATCACCCAGTGGTTTGTAAAGTTCTGCCATGAAGTCTTGAACTGAGCTTGTTGGCCTTCTCTGTGTTTTTGCTCGTAGTCTGGTTTCAAGAGTTGATGCCCCTGCTCTAAAGTATCCCCAGCTTTCTCTTTCTTTTTGATTCTAATCAGAACTATAATTGATAAAATGAACAACATATCGTATTTGATAAGAACTGAAGTGTGAGAGTTAAGAGTTATCAATAAGAGTTATCAGGAAAGTGTTTACTGAGGTAATGGAGGGAGGGAACTGAGGGTCGCTTTCACATCAGAGTATATAGACCTCTACATAATGTGACATTTTATTGAACCCTGAGGAGTCAGACAGACTGCAGGTTTGATCCACTCCGGCTTCACTTTTCAGACTCTGCAGCTATGTCCTCCTTTCATATTCAGTATATGATGAAAAACATAAGGATTTATCTACGTGATATGGTTTAGTACCATTACCTAACCTGCTTATGCTTTAATGGGTCAGGCGGGTGGGGTGTGGTGCTAAGGTTACCAGTCAACACACAGAGACGGGCTCACATCCACACCTTTAGACAATTAGGTCACCAATTAACCCAGCTTATGGATGTCTTTTAATATCCTAATTTTAACTAACTGGCACCATAAAGTATTTAATTACTATACTACTATATTTTTTACGGTTGTCCCTCTTTAACACAAAGATGTTACTTGTAACAGATAATTATTATTACAGGACTGAGGTTGAGTGAAATGTGTGTAGCATTCTAATTATTATTACATCCCTTTAATTGCCCTTTAAATCAGAGTTTTTTTTTCATCATCTGTCTTTTTAAAAGGTAATAAAAGGCCACTGAACTTTTGAAGTTGTGTGTGTTTACATAACCTATAGAAACCGCGAGCTGAACATAAATGGCCTTTCTCGTCAGCACGCTGTCGCTGAAAACAGCCTCGTGCACTGTGGTTGCTCATCAAACTGGGAGTTTGAATGACTGTGTGTAGATCTGCGTTTATTTTATTTTTAAAAAACAATTGTTCTGTTTGTCTTAAAGTAATTGTAACAAATCTAAAAAAATATTCCGACAAGATCAAAGAATTGTGATACTGTATCCTGACCATGCAGAAAGAGAACTGCAGGAATGGCCGAGCGGTTAAAAAAAGACAGAGGCGAAGTGTCTGTGTTTATTTGTACAACAGTGTGTTGTTTTGTTTGTTTATGGCGTGTGATTTAGTGCATGAACTACTCTCTTCTGTAGCTGCTGAGAAACAGCGCTGTTATTTCATGAACTCACCTTTCAATAAATATGATGCTGTGCACAGAGGATTAGCACACGCTCTTGTCATTATTCTTCTTTAATGTTATTTGTAAAAGCCAAATAAAACATTATAACGTCAGTAACCTCTGCAGCTCGCAGCCCAGGAGAGAAGCAGGAGAGATAAAGCAGCTTTAAAAACAGCTGCACCAGTGAGGTCAGTGGGACCTCACAACAAATCCCCAGCAAAATACTGGAATTAACATTACCTTGACCCCTCAATAAAGTCTTGTAAAATGTGAGCTTATTAAATTATTATTAAAAATCTACATTATAATGATGTTATGTTATAATGATTTTCTACCATTTTGTTCAAACTATGTTTATCTAGTGTAATCGTAGTACTGTCCAAGTTCAATATTTTGATTTTTGAAACGAGGACACCAAACAAACCGTGCAGTTTGTTCGAGAACACGTTTTCGATTTAACAGTTTCACATCAAGTTGAACGAGCACAAAGTTTGGGGGGATTGTTTTAAATCAAAATAAATCATTCTAACCTTGTATGTATTTATTTGAAAATAGTATTTATAAAGAGTTTCTTTTTCTTTACCCCTGCTGTGCTTCGTACCAGAAAGTAATTTTGTACATGTATCATTAGTTTAAACCGAGAGACACATTTCATATAAATGGACAAATACATTAATACAGTACATATATCTTTGTGTCCTGGGTTTGAATTCACCAGCAACAAACTGACAGCCCTCAGGTTATACACCGCGACTCTGACATGGATGACTGGATGGACAGACAGACAGCATTCCTCTGGAAATGTTTTGAGCTTTGAACAAATATTTATTTCCACAATGTACAATTCTCTCAAGTTCACCAGTTACTCCTGAAACACACACACTTTTGCCCAGTTCATTCATTATCTACTCTAAAGTGGAAACATTGTTTCCACACTGCTGTGCTTTAACAATAAGCAACATGCTTTTTCAAATAAGAGCATATTTGTAGATGCTAAATAGACCTGTGATATTTACTATTTTGGTCTAAATTTTGACCCAGATTATATACCTTTAACATAGTGCACAAAATACATGATATGAATGAAATTTGTATTAAGTATCTTGGATAAGTGAGACATTAGGGCACAGTCCAGTGTTGTGCATGACCTCATGAGTCCAGCCAAGGAGGTAAAGTTTGATTGGGCAATGGATTCCCTGGGCCAGAAGCCATGAGGGTAAAGTGCATCAGGAGGGGACACAGATCATAAGACTTGCATCATACTTAACAGTCAGTGTCAGTGGAAACTGACTGAAACAGAGGCTGTCATCCTGTGCACTGCTGAGTGGACCTGAACTTAAAACACCGTGAGTACACATCTAATGCATATTTATAGATCATGTCACATCTACCCGACACAGTGATGTCTGACATTTGACACTTGTATTATTTAAACGAATGATAAGTCTGCAGTTTCTGCTGTGGGCAATTTTTAAATTAGTAGGAAACGCTCGACACGAGTGTTGAAGCCAACACTGAACATTAAAGAAGATCAGAGGTCTTGAAGCATCGTGCTGGATATAAATTTTATATAATGATGGCAGAACTGAGTTATTGAGTTCAAGGGTTCTTCTGTGAATGGGCTATTAAACCGATGCATGTACCTCTAACCACACAGGCAATTTTTCATGTAGGTAAAAGTAGGTCATGAACCCAAATATGATTTTTAAAACAGCTTCTATGAGTAATGTTTTCGTAACAGATCATAGATTTTGCTGAAAATCTATTAGTACTGGCTGCTCATGAAATTAAGTGAAGCATCAGTTTAGCATTTTGACAAAGGGAGACAAAGTTCATCAATACAACAAATCAAAAGGAAAGTAACAGCTGCTCGGGCTCAAGTAGAAAAGAGGTCAAGCCAATAAATATTTTCTTAAACATGACATAGACTCATTAATAATCTTAGAGTTGTTACAATAAGGATGATTTGCTTTAAAAACCCCATATGACTGTGTCTGCAGCTGCACAGTGTCTAATCTGAATTTCTTTTTGATGCGTATCTGTTTAATGGAGGAATGACCAGAATGTATGGGTCACTAATGAGGTCAATGACTGTTTTTTACCCCACAATGCAACCTCTCTGCTGTGTAGCTTATCTCTTATAACCTGCAGTGGAGATGCGGATCTTTATCATTTGTTTCGATTGTTTAGCTTGAACTGCACTGACTTGTGGCTTGTTGTGGAAAACCACTGTGGGTAACCACTGTTCCACAACCCCGAGCTTACAGCTGCCTTTGTCCACACAAGCAGTTCTCCACCTTTTCAGTTTTGGATTCACACGATTGGTTTCACTACACCGACACTGAGGCTCATCAGGAATGATAATAATCTCTGACATGAGGCAACCAGCCAGCAACGAGCCAGTGACCTGATGTAATTTTTCAATTTATCGTGGAAGATCCTCTCACGTTATTAAACTTTAACAAAAAGCAAAATCCAGGTTGCTGCACTGCTGCTGGTAGGCTGAAACACACAGGTAAACAGTAAAGTACTGGCAGCTAGACTCATTAAACTCTCTTACTTAATGGAAACAGTTTTTCTCCACTAAAATAAAAATATGCGTTGTATCGAATATAAACTTTAACCTCCTAAGACCCGAACTCTTCCACTGCATGCATTTTTAATTTCTCTTTGATATTTGGTCACATTGGGGCCCGATGAATGTAAAAACATTTTTTAACCTTATTTTTGTTTTTAAGAAAAATAAGAGCCACATATGAGGATATTCGTTTAAAATTTTGATAGAACAGTAGCAGTATAATGTCCTCGTAAGTGGATATCAGGCCCTTGTAGAGCAAAATTGAGTATTTTGGTCTAAATAACCCAAAAATGTGATGTCCACATATGTGGACGCCAGGTCCTAGGAGGTTAATAGTGAGTCTTATTTTAATTTTGCATTAATTGCCATGAATTCAGTCTTTCGTGAACTATGACAAGGTAATTCCCTCTTCTACTTGCGGTTTACCGATATAGAAATACTTCAAGTTGAAAAATTGCTCCTGAGGTCTTTACCTTTAACGCTTCTTAGCCACACAGACACTGGAAACATCACACATCCACAAGATTCAAAGTGAAAACACAAAATAATAACATATACCCATCATAACACTAATTCTAAATGAAGGATTTAAACTTAAACATTCATGTGTGTCTTACTAATGTGCAAAACTATACCAGTAAAAGTTGCTTACTGTTTATAGGCTGTTCTCCACAAAGCATTTACAACATTTGGCGCGTCACAAGTTTGCAAAGAATGATATATTAATGCACACAGCTTATTTTAGTTTAACATAAATGCGTTACAGTTATACTCACCACAATTCACCTAGAAGATTTCGGCATGAGCTATACACATGGAATAAATAAAAGCATTACATCACTCACTTTGACAGGCATCAGTACGACAGCACGTGCATTCATTGAAAACAGACTAACCTCCAGTCGTGAGGGTAGCCATGACGACCAAGGAGGCCGATAGCAGGGTGTATAATCGGAAGATCAAGCCCCGACAGTCATCTGACAACTCAAGCTCTGGTATGGACAAAATACTGTTTTATACTGTATAAAGGAAGTAATTTACATTTATTTGTAAGCTGATCTTTCAGTTCTGTCTATTTTTACACAGTTTTAGGTGAAAGATATATTCAGTATATTTAAAAGTTTAGCGAACGATGTGAGAAACATCTGTTCTTCTCTCTGCAGCTGGCAATCATGATAAGGTGGTGGAAGAAGATGCGAGGCAGTGGGAACGATGTACTGAGGTATTTCATCACTGTTTCTTTAAACGGTGGATGAAAGTAGGAAAGTGGTTTACAAAGGCAACACAGTTACTGAAACGTGATTTGAAAGAAATGTTTTTTTCCTCTTGTAGAAGATCAAAATAAAAGTCATGGAGCAGGTCCAGGATCAGCTCAATGAAATTCTAGACAGAGTTCTGACTGAGTCCGTCCAGTCCCTCTCCAACACCCAATCAACAGTAAATGGAAAGACAAAAAATATAAGCTCATCCAGGTAAGAATGAGACACAAATTGGTCTGTTGGTCACCATATTTTTTTATGCTAATCACTGAAGTGTGTGACTGTTTTTCTGTTTATGCTTTGTGTCAGATCTCAGAGAATGGATGATGGCAAAGTGTTTATGGCCAGGGCGTCACTGCTGGAGTGAGTATAAAAGATGTGAAAACACCCAAATTAAATCAGAGTTGGGTTTAACACAAGGGTTTAACATCTACAGATTGTCAGTGTACATAGTTTTCAAATAGAAAATTCTAATTTAATTGGATATATGCATGGTTTTTGCATTTTATTAGGTTATTCAACTGCTCGTTAATGGATTTATCTGATCAGCGCATCAAATGCACATTTAGGCATGTAGATATGGACAAGGTGACCTGCTGAAGTTCACAGTGAACACAAGAATGAGAAAAAAAATGATTTAGGTGACTTTTAACGTGGCATGGTTGTTTATGCCAGACAGGCTGGTCTGAATGAAGCTGTTGACTTACTGGGATTTTCCCACACACATCTCGATGGTTCACAGAGAATGGGTCAAAAAAGCAGATGGGCTTACAGGAGCAGAAAGTTCACTTGGGCTCCTGATCATACCGGACATACAGACTGAACAATGGAGACTGAAAAAACGTTGCCTAAATCTAAAGTTTAAATATATGCTGCTATATTCAGATGGTCAGAATTTGGTGTAAACGACATGAAGAATGTATTCATCCCGTTTGTGTCTATGGGTCAGGCTGGTGATGCTTTGTTGATGGGGGGTATAACTTTGGCACACCTTGGGCCCCTTAGTACCAAGTGGCCATCATTTAAATGTGACAGCCTACCTACGCATCATTACTGACCCTCTCCATCCCTTTATGACTGTCTACTCATCTACTGATGGCTGCTTCCAGCAGCATAAACATGAGCCATCTGTACTCAAATGTCCTGCACAGTCACATGCCATCTCAATCCAAGAGCACCTTTGGTTTGTGATGGAACATGAGATTTACCTCATGCATCAGATAAGTCTGATGCTGTCGCTTCAATATGGCCTTAAATCTCTGAGGAACGTCCCCGGTACCTTCATGAATCGGTGACACAAAAGGGAGTCCAACCCAGAGCTAGCAAGGCGCACCCAATCAAACTGCAAACTTAGATGGGACTAGCACGTTTTTGTAAACCTTTGCAATATTCACAGCAGAGTTCGCACAGATTTATTAAACATGGGGCCATTTTATTGATTTTGTTGTGTATTTATTTGTGTTTTTCCTCTTCTTTCTCAGTGAACTGTTCGAGATCAGCCACATCCGGACCATTTACCACATGTTCATAGCTGTTCTCATCATTTTCTTTTTGAGCACTCTGGCTGTTGACTACATCGATCAGGGCAGGTCAGTGGGACACGTGGATGTGTGTGT